ACAATATTCATGCGATAATACTGAGCGACTTGACGAAACGTATGCCTACTGTATTATAAACAAAATATATGGGAGATTTTTTCGAAAAACGATGAGAATCCTTTTTTTTGACATGAATCTTTCTATCGAAATGAGTGAAATTCAGTACGGAGAGCAGTATATGATTATTTTTATTAGTTTTGAACTTCCTGAAATCAGGATATCATAGCCAAGCCAAGAATACGTTTACTATAATATCACCCTCGTTGCATTCGGTAGTTTATACTCTTTTTTAGGATTATACACAAAAAGAACTTTTCAGTATTATATTCAAAAACGATACTATTATACATATGTATGTATAATCATGCACTTCCCATTCCGCAACGTAGGCATTGAAATATTCGGAAATTCTTTATTATGTTATGTCTTTCCGGAAACTTTAACACTCCATTACTTACGGAGATAATAAATAGTGTCAGCTTCCTCGGGCGGAAATAAATTTATTTTATAGCTGAATGACAGCTTTAATCGATGTTCAAACTGTTCTAAATCTATATAATTACGAGTAAAGCTAATAATCTGTAATCGAACAGAATATAACATGAGGTACAATACTTAATTAGGAACTACATAGTTTCTAAAACAATAAATCCAAAATTAACTGGCTGTTGTCATCGATATCCCATGGGTTAAAATGTAACAATAACTTATAACGCCGAGTACATTCGGTCACCGATAAAGGCCTTTGAAATTTGAAAATGCTCAACGGGGTTGGCAAACCGCAATATGCACTCGCTCGTGTACTTTTACGTTGGCATTTCTTTGAGAGTAGGGTTAAAATAAAGTGTACCTTGTTAAAATGTAATTTAGCTCTTCTTTCTCACACAATAAAGGATATAATGCAACGAGAGTGTCTCCTTCTATGTGGCTAACGATAAACCTCTGCAGAAGTCTAATGGTCGTCTTTGCAATAAAATTTCTTGACGCTTTATTTTTGGAAATATCTTTTGTTACTTTAGAGCATGCAAAATAAGCGGATACAAAATGAACTAAATGTTTTTGCTTAGTAGGACTTTACTTAATATATTTTTATATAATAACGAAATAATAATAACGGTAATGTCAGCACAAATGTTTATTATAAAAGCAAATTGGCTATAAAATTACGTTATTACGTGAAAAAATTAAATATAACAAAGATCGTTTTAAATAAATTTTGGAAATGAAATTATTTTAGAAAATAATAGAATTTATATAAAACAAATTCTTTGTTTTTACCTAATTAAGATATATTACGTACCATTATTTATTAAATTTATTTATTAAAGAATAAATATGTAGTTTTAACATTTAGTGGATTGTAGAGTTGAAATTGTCCGAAAACTGAAACGAGGACCACGTATTACATAAGAAAAGATTATTACGAATTTCTATCTTATATGTTCGTGACTTGCTATGAATTTTTATAAGGAGAAATGTTACCGTTTACTTATGATATATTTTATAAAATAGATGTACCTACCTATATTTTAGCAGGTTATTTATATTTATACAGCGTATTCGTCATAACAAATATTATAGTCGCTTTGTTCTATATATCTCGACTACATAATATATCCTTTACAATGTCACCTTTATAAGACATATAGTCTGTGCTAACGTTTACAATATATTTATAGGATATAAAATATTTTTTTCACTTATACTACGTCAATTAATTTATAAATAATATTTTGGATCGAGCCGTAGTTTATCAGGTACAGAAAAAAATAGCTTTAATTTGATATATAAATGATGAACATACGCGATGAACGTATAAACGTCCCAAAATATGACCCGCTTACACCTGGCTGCGAAGAGGTTGCGGCCAAATGCGCAACGGCAGCTATTATTTTTCAAGATCTCTACGTATAGTTCTGTGAAGTGGAGTATAATTCATTGTAATAAAAAATGCATCGCTTTTGTTCCAAAAAGTAAACTATTGTTTAGTTAATTAAACATACGAGCGGGCACATTTGAATAGGCACCCCGGTCAAAACATATTGTCCCTTTTATTATTGTATATAAAAAATTGATTTCGATTAAATACGCTATGAACGTAGCAATTTTGCAGCGGGATCTTAGTCAATTTTGGGAGTCAAAATAATTCATTTGAAATTTATTTTTAAACTAGTGACTCACCCTCGCATCGCTCGTGTTCGTCTCTAAGTGATTCTTTAAATTATTTCTTTTATGAACCGATTGAAATAAAACAAATATTTTAAGTTAAGTGAAGCTTATCACAATATATGTATTAGTGAAAACCGTAGCAAAATCATTTAAGCCGTTTCTGAGATTAGCGCTCACAACAGACAAAAATTCTAAAAATTATTGTTTAGGATTCTATTGCGCTAATAAAGACCCTTCATTAATAGTTTTTCTCAAATATCTACCATGTACAGACAGCAATCAGTTACACTTTCATTATGTGTATAGATCCTTATATTATTGGTTACAAATAAAACAAAAAAGTTTGACAAATGTTACTAGGAGTTGAGATGATCATATAAATATATTATTTTTCTTGAGTGAGTTCTAAATCGAAAACTATAGCAAATTACCACAATCGACGAAAAATTGTATCCCAATGAGAACAAAGAAGAATCGCAAAATCCAAGCACGTATTTTCGTTGTAATCAGTGTGTGCAAATTAAAAAAGAAGATATACAACGTACGAAGCCTTTGCTTTTTGAAGCTGTATAAGATTTGCGTGTTTGTGAATAATTAGAAAGGTTAATTACGGTGATAACAATGAGTACCTGCAAATGTAATTGGAAACACTCGTAAACTGTTCCTTAGTATAAACTTCTTGGTACTAAGAATAATCTACATCTTTATATTACGTATATCTTATGTACGTAAAACAAAATCGGGTTTGTTCCAGCACTTATAACTCGAGAACGGCTTGGCCGATTTTTATGTTTTTTGTTTTGTTGGATTTTTCTTCGCCCCGAATAGCAGAGTAAATATTAAAACATCGGAAAATTCACGAAAAAAATATTAAAAAAAAATATTCCATATTAAGAGTCAAAACGCACCTAAGGACTAACCTGAGCGAGCGAGGGTGAGTCGCTAGTTGTATATAAAATAAAGTCAGATTAGTTACACCATTTACAACTCAAGAACGGCTGGACCGATTTTAATGATTTTTAATTGTTATCTCCGCCCCAAATAACAGAATAACTATTAAAACATTGAAAAAAATCACGAAAACAAAAATTCAAATTTACATGGCTAATGCTCGCTAATAACTATTTATATCTATTTAAAACATCACGTACGTTTTTATAAAGATCACAAATAATATGGAAATTTGGATAGGAAAAACCTTTATCGAGTCAGCTAGCATCAATAACATCGCCTATAATATAAAATATAGAGGATGATCTGAAAATTTTATCCATAGAAAATGAACTAAAAAGCTTCTACTACGAGTAGGTATAATATTATAACTTAAATCTTACTCTGATTAATGCGGAAAGGGCAAAACGTTTCGCTTTATTTATAAAGATTGTCTCAAACAGCTATTAAGCGTCTACTAAATCTTCAATACAAAACTTAACTTGCTAATGGACGCCACTCAACAGTAAGACGAAGTCGCGTACTTTGTGACCGTCGCGTCCAACTTAGAGCACTTCTCATGTTCTTAATGTTTTTACACAAACATTCAACCAAGTTTTTGCGCCCGCCGAAGTTAAGTTATCTTCTTATGATATTTAAACATCTAACATAAGAAACTCATAGTAGTTTTAAGAAAACAAAATATACAGTTCCATGCTGAAGGCTAAGGCAGCCTTCTTGTTAGGTCTTTTTTTTTATTTTAACCCCAAAACCCCTACTATCAAAAATAAATATAATATTTTGAATGTGGGCAATGAAAAAATATCAATAATGATGGGACAAACTGTGTCAATGCTAACAATGGAATATGTATACGATACATGAACGTACATATAATATTAACAAAATACAAAGCCGATCTATACAATTTTCTATATTTTCGAACGCTGCAACATAACAATCCATCATCAACTCTGCACCCGAAGTGTTGAATCAGAAGATATTTTATATCAAAAATATGGTCTTTCAGAAATGTTATTTCACTGTTTCTATAAAGGAAATGTCTAAAACGAGAATAGTAGAGGAAATTAACGTGTCCGTTTAGAGTCAGTGTGACAACACTGGTGATGTAATACGTCGTGTCAAAAACTCCCGAGCTAATGTTGCATGTGTTCAGTGTTATATATATATACATATATATATATATATATATACTAGAAAAACACTAATGGACATCTATTAGTTCCCACGGGAACCATTCATTTTTCCGGGATGAAAAGTAACCTGTTGTTTGACCGGCAATTTAAGGTATCAGAATTAAAGTTTACTTAATTAGGTGCATAAGTTGTTGTGTACTAAGCTGTATAAGATACAATAGTTTTTTAACTATCCCACGGGAACTCTTTAATTTTCTAGGATGAAAAGTATCTAAGATGTTGCCCGGGGATATATGGTACCACCATGCAAAATTTCATTTAAATCGGTCCAATAGATTCGGAGATTAGCCAGTACAAACAGACAAATAGACAGAGAAACAAAAAATTTGAAAAAAATCTGGATTTGTTCTATTTGTCTTCTTACATCCCCCTGACTCGGTTTTAAGCTATTGCATAGCTTCTATCGCGGGCCTTAAGCATGGGGACCGAATCCAGAAATTCCGTAACGAAAAAAACCTGACACCCCCCCCCTCCGACCGGCACAGCGGTGATACTTCCATCTATCGATAAATACCAGAACTTTTAATGACCTTTTGAAATATCACGCTTGTCTCTTTAGTTCAGCAACCCGCCTTTAGGTGGCATTGGTTGTATTGGAAAACTACTGTAATCAGCTGTTTATGAGAAAGTATATAGGTGTATAGGTATTTATCATCTATGTACAACAGTGAACTTAACTGCCTCGGTGGTGTAGTGGCTAGCATGTACGGCTGCACACCCGGAGGTCCTGGGTTCGAGTCCCGGGTCGGGCCAAGTTTAGTTATTGAGTCTTCTTGTATAGTAAGTCTCAGTAACAGCCCGGAGTTGGGAAGTTGGCGGTGTTTCACCCCCGTGCCTCGGAGAGCACGTAAAGCCGTCGGTCCTGCGCCTTAACTCTCACCGGTCGTGTCGAGTGGTCGTCCCACCGGAGTATGAGAGTGATAGGAATAGAGAGTGCACTTGTGTCTGCGCGTACACTTGAGCACTATAATATCTCCTGCGCAGTTGGCTAATCTCATTGAGATTGGCCGCCGTGGCCGGAATCGGCTAGGAGAACATCATCACAACAGTGAATATCTGTACGCGTATAATTTGTGTACAAAGTGTTTTAAATATGAATAAACAAAGTGAATTTATTAATGAAGAAAGTCAAGGAAAAAAAATACTGCATTAATAAAATAAATAAATAAATATAATTGCATAAGTTGATAAAAAATGCTATGCAATAGCTTTACCGCGGCAGTCTCCGAGTGCCACACGTCTTTTTTTTAGCATTTTTTTGCTATGTACAGACATTCGACCTCAACTCTTTTATTATTTTTTCTATATATGTATATATATATTTAGAAAAAATGTTTAAAAACCGATTCATAATTATTGTAGGCAAATTTAAACATTTATTTTCCTAAAATATAAATAGACAAAAATATTTCACAAAAAGTAATGTTAACAATGCATTTTTTTTTTGTTTCAGCTCGGACAGCGGAGTCCGATGAGGAGGCTCCATCTCTTCACATCATGGCTAGATCATTAGTATATAATGTCGGCGAGAAGAAGGGTATCTTTTGCAAAGGAAAGAATTTAAAGGAGGTATGATATTATGCGTAATAATTATAAATTACAATTAAGCGTTACGAGACTTCTGCAAAAATATTGGCCAAATTAAACAACATAATGTATTATATAAACAATTGTTTGTAAACTTTAAATTACCAGCGTTACCGCATCTCAAATTTAATTAATTTGTTCTAAACTAACCTTTTAATAAAATGTTGGCTTTAATAAAACTCGCGTATATCCGAAAATTTAACAAGTTTCTGATATAACGGACAACTTTCCTCTTATCCATATTGTTAAGTTCTTACATTTCACGCGCCTAATAAATTTTAAGTAGCAAATTGCCAGAAGACGTGTTACCAGCTGCCACGTATAAACCATCATTTATTTGCTTAATTCGTGAATACTTAACCGTTAGGAACATTCGTCAAGGACTTTCACTTTGTAATTTCCTAGTCGTTCCCGCTGGTTTCATCCGCATTTTGGAGAGCAAATTTTTATATCATAACTGCTAAACTTTTTATAAGTTCAACTACGCCCAAATGTTAAAATTTGATCATTATAATCATTATTGAAAATTTGAGGAAAACTTCGGTTTAAAGATGCTTTATTTATTTCTCAAAGAATAACATTCACTTAATGAGAAAAATTACAAGTAGGTAGTTGAATATTATTTACATCGTGAACAACTTGATACAAAACAGAAATAAAAATGTTATAGGTATAGAAACATCAAATATCAATCATTAGGTAATAGGATTAATACAAAAATTTTATATTTAGTCAAACAACATCATTTTTACATAATGTTGTGGGTAGAACGGTGTTACAACTAGAATATTTACGTACTTAGTTGGTAAACACAAAGATATAAAGAGCTTGTTACTAACTTTATGAATAGAATTAACCTATCTATACAAAAAAGTAGCCTTCTCCAATTTTTTATTGATAATACAAAACTCGTCAATAGCTACTAGTGACAAACAGACCAAAAACACGTACTTAAGTGTTTTATTTTCACCTATTTATATTATACTAGTGACTAATTCTTTCTTCACTTCGGAGCGTCCTTCAGCTTGAATGGTTTAGGAACACATACAAGACAAACGTCTAAAGAGAATTTCTTTATTTATGAGCCAAGAACTTTCGCAGGCACTCACCTGTACAGAATAACCCACCAGAGTTTTATCACAATCGGATCGATGGTTTAGGAAAGCAAAGACAAACATACGGAGATTCATTTTTATTTATACAAATGGATTTATCCGTTTATGAATTCAATTTTCAAAAGTCTCAAGTTGCTCAAGGAATAATCCATGCTAAACACAGTATCTAGTTATCAAAGCCCAAAGATATTAAATTATGGCAATAAAATTAATCACTTTTCTAGGAAAGATCTAAAATAATTGGACGTAGTTATGCAAAATAGATCCAAGCACAAAAACTTACTTTTTTTCTCATTAGGAGTTTTAGTAAAATTGGTATATCAAAATAACAAGACCGTAGTTTTTTTTTTTGAAATTCCTATTAAGTATTGGGTATTTTATACTTTCTGTAGGTATATAAGTTGATATGTAGGTGCCATTTATGACAGTAACTCAAAAAACGGTGTTCGTGGGCTAGATCCAGGTCCAATAGATGGAATTAAAGGTTGCTCAAATAAATAAGCAGTATTTAGTAGCTATGTATATAATTTTATATTAGATTTATTTAGTAAAGAAGTAAGTTAATAAATAATAAGTTGTACTTACATATTTTTGAAATGCTAATGACATATTCATTATTTATAAAGAAATATAAGATATAGTTGAAGATCTGAAGTAGGGTCGCCCTTCACCCATCGACTTATCGAATGAAAAGTATTAAGTATAATAAATTCATCGTAGGTCGAAGATGGGATAGCTTGCAAGGGAACCTTCTGTATTTTAGACTAAATATTTACAAAAGAAACAGAAAGTATTCATACAAAAGTACTGTAGAGTTTTTCTTATTATAACCTTTGAAATTACCATCTTACGAATCTTTTTACGATTTCTACTAGCAGCAAATTTAAATGAGCTTAATTGTGTAAACCACAATAACGATTATACCTTTAATGAAACTACCGCAGCTTACATACTGCTCACTTAAATTATGTTTTGTACGAGACACAAGTGCACTTTCTATTTCTGTCACTTTTAAACTCAAAGTCCAGTGGGACGACTACTCGACACGACCAGTAACAGTTAAGGCGCACTACCGACGGCTTTACGTGCTCTCCGAAGCACGGGGATGAAACTGAAACTTCCCAACTGCGGACTTACTGAACAAAAATACTCATAAACTAAACTTGGCCCGACCCGGGACTCGAACCCAGTACCTTGTGATGTGCAGCCGTATATGATAACCACTACATCACAGAGGCAGTTACAATATAATAATATTCTGCATTAAAAAATCTAATAAATAAATAAATATGTTGGGACATTAACATACAGCGCCATCTTGTTCCATGGTAAGCTATGAGGCTTGTGTTATGGATACCAGATAGTTGATGCACTACACACATACAACTTTAAATACATACATATTATAAATATAAACTCATGACTGGAGTACAAACATTCGTGCTCGTCATACAAATGAATGCCCCCAGCTAGACTCGACCCGCGACCGCTGGCACAGCAAGTAGGATCACTACAAACTGAGAAAACGTGTCGTCAAAATAATAAGTAAAATAATATTTTCTGTTTGATAATAGAATACGTGTTTTAGACTTCAGTTTTCACATAAATATTATTAATTCGAACGGTGTTTTGCAATAAAAAATAAAACAAAATTATATTGCGCTTTGTATAAATAATCAATATTTAATCACGCTTACATAATACTGTTTCTCATTACTATTAAGAAATCCATGTGTAAATAATTTACATTACATTTTAAGGTATAAAATGCACCATGAGTTATTTAAACATGAAATAATAAACATGCACTTATATAATATATAAAAAACATATGTAAAATCGATTAGAAAAAAATATCGCCTAATATATAGAATAATAATATACCTACGTTGAGAATTCATTTTTGAAGTCCATTAAAAGAGATACCAAAACAATACGTAACATGTATATTAAATATCTGAAGGAAAAGCAAAAAGACGAGGAAAAAATATAACAATTCGAAGACATCCTCATATTTTTACAAATATTTGTATCGTTTCAGTCTATCGAGTGGTACTCGCCATCCGGCAAAGTCGAAGCACTGTCTTCTAAAAACGACAGAGTGTTTGTAGAGAGACAACGAAACGACACATTGCCACTCATCATCATCAGCGCTCAGCTCGAGGATACCGGCAACTGGACTTGTAAATCTGGTGAACTGGAGCAAACGCTTAAAATTGTTGTTGGTGGTAAGTAAAAAATAAAATTATATAATATAAACATCACACTATTACTATAAATGATTATAAAACGTTTGTATGTGTGTGTGTGTTTTTTTTTTCTTTTTTGTAACTCCATCGGATTAAAATGAAAAGCACACAAATAGACATCTCCTGGAGTAACACACAGGCAAATGGTAAGCACCTTGCGACGCACCTAAGCGAAGCGAGAGTGAGTGGATAGTATTCAAGATGGGATTTAAATAACAAATAAACATAATAAATAATCTACGAGTATATTAATTTCAATCTAATTGGGCAGTAATAGTTAGGTATAATTAATTACTTATAGTATCTACATTTTAATATTAAAAGTCTTTTTCATTCCATTGATGGATCCAAATTGTCTGTTATACTTCGTTAGTTCTAATGGATTAACTCGAGCAGAAAATATTCTTTATTACACATTCTTTTTTATGGAGCTCAATAGAAACTCAAAAGTTGAAAAGTTAGATTTCCGATACAAGAAAATGTAAAAAAGTTATTTAAGTAAATTGTATTGGCACTATTTTTGCCAATACAATTCTTTACTTAATACAACTTTTTCTTTCTGAACCAGAATAGATGGTGTAATCGAATTACTAATATATTTTATTCTCTGAGTTTATATCGAGTAACTTTAAAGGTAATGGTTAATTTCTGAAATATTTAAGCTCATAAATTTCAAACTTAAATTTAAGTTTCTACAGCAACTTGTGTACCAGAAATTGTTCAATGTAATCTACTTCCTTTTCCAATATTGTACTTACATGTTAAACTAAAACTATACATTTTAGTTAATTTAATTAATATAAATAAAAACAAAGAAGAATTTCTCTTTCAGGGCTAATTTTGATATAAAATGAATGAAATATGGCCTTTACACGACGATTAATATCTGTAATATTTTTAAATTCAACGATATTTTAATATTAAGTACTAACAATTTTTATTTCATCATGTATTTATGTATACTTTTCAACTTTCATGTGATCAAAACTCAAAATAAATCCGCGAAATAATCCGAAAAGATAGTTTTATTTATAATGTCAAATATTCGCGTAAATCTAAGAAAGTATTATTTCATATGTATTATATTTTTGATTAACTTGAAAGTGTATTAATTTTAAAATATATTAGTAATTTGTATCCAAAATAAAAAAAAAGCATATCGTAAGCATCAGTTACACAATTTGAATAATTTTAAAATATTTCATTTCTTTTTTCAGAAAAAGTAAACCTAAGTCCAAAGGAACAAAATTTAGATGGTGAAGAGACTAAATCTATAAAATTTGACTGCGTAGCAAAAGGTCACCCACGTCCTGTCGTGCAATGGTACAATGCTAAAGGAACAATTACTGGTGAGTTTTACATGAATTATATATAAACAGACAGACATTATGTACAGATTATATAGTTTTTACATTATAATTATACTCTTAAAACAATAATCAGTTATACAAATCGTATAATGTGAACCAACGTCATCAATTTAATGAATTCATTACAATTATATGGAGTATTATGTTTCCTTAATATATTATTTATAATCCTAAATGAATTTAAAAAAATTACAGATGAGCGAAAAAAATATATTCTCAAACAAAAAGGGGATAACTATCAATTAGAAATCAGAAATTTGACTCACCTCGACACAGGCGAATATTGGTGCAAAGCTACACAAGAGGCACTGTCTTACTATAGCTTGAAACGTGTATTTCTTACTGTTCAACGTAAGTATATTTTATTTATAATTTTTTACTTATTGTTATTTTTATTTCATTCATATCAAGTTATCATTTTACGATTGCTAGGACCCTTTTTGTAAGAGTAATATTCTATGAAAACTATTTCATATCTCAGAATAAAAAGTCATCTATGTACTCACTCTCCGTTCCATAAACTCAAAATCTCTATGTAAAACATCGAGTTACGGCGTTAAAAGTAGGATAAACTAACAAATATGATGATGATGATGTTCTCATGACCAATTCCGGCCACGGCGGCCAATCTCATTGAGACTAGCCAACTGCGCAGGAGATATTATAGTGCACAAGTGTACGCACATACACAAGTGCACTCTCTATTCCTATTACTCTGATACTCCGGTGGGACGACCACTCGACACGACCAGTGAGAGTTAAGGCGCAGGACCGACGGCCTTACGTGCTCTCCGAAGCGCGGGGGTGAAACACCGCCAACTTCCCAACTCCAGGCTATTACTCAGGCTTACTATACAGAAAGACTCAATAACTAAACTTGGCCCGACTCGGGACTCGAACCCAGGACCTCCGGGTGTGCAGCTGTACATGCTAGCTACTACACCACCGAGGCAGTTACTACTAGGTACTAACAAATATAATACTTCCTTTACAACCATTTCCTTTTGACCACTTTCATTACTGACTGACTGACTAATTCTAGCCTCAGGCTAGCTATTTACGTAGAATTTACCGCATGTGCATAAAATATTCGCAACAACACAAGTGAATTATCTATTCATTTCACTGTCAAAAGCCAAAATAAACTAGGAATTGCCTCATAACCGGCCAGAGATCAGATGCAGGACCAATGGCGTTACATATTGTGGAATAACACTATTTATAGACCAAATAACTTCTAAATTATTTTTGGAAAAAAATGTTAAAGTTATTTTTATCTCGACCTGTGATGCAATCTCAGGATTTCTAGATCTGGAGTTTAGAATATTGAGTGCCTTAAGACAACCCAATTCAATCTAAGTGACATAAAAGGCTTTTTATTTTTTTATTGTTTATTAAGATAGCCCGATATAGAATTAAATTGAATACATAATAATATGGTAGATTTTTTTAGTGAATCAACTTATGCTAGACGGTGGTCTCCTCACTTCTTAGCTTAAGAAAATTTAAGCATATTGAATAACTTTTAAATAAACTACCAACTATTCCTGAATAAACTTTTTACTTCATTCAAAGCATTAAATTCAAGCACAGCTGGTTTTTCTAAGAGCTTAAGTGCTTAATGATAATTTATCACGACTGTGGTAAAATAACGAGTGGAAATCCGTATTCTGCATAACTAGAGCGAAACTATAATAAATATTATATAACACGCTAGTGCTATATAATATATTAAGTATACATTGCAGTGCACTAATTATTGTTAAAATTAAGGTTTAGGTTTGATTAGAAAATAATATTTTTAAGTAGGTAATTTTTTACCAATTTTGTATATTATTTACTATTTTAAACTCAAGTTAAATTAAAGAGAGAGATATCAAATGAAACTTAATATTAAAATAACCTCAAAGTGAGAAAAATTAATGTCTTTGAGATAACGAAATTAGATCCGCCATCTTTCCGTTAATACTTTAACAAAGTTACGGATTTCGCTAGTACAATAATATATTATATGCGTTTGTTTATCCAAGCTCATGGCAAATTAAAATTAATAAATGATAGTAGATCAAGATCAACTTGTTATTTCAAATGACTTAAATGTTCGCATAATAAGAAGGGCAGTATGATTAATTACAATTGCTATTTGTAATTGCGTATAAATGTAATAATTTTCTCTAAAAAATAAAAACCGACTTCAAACAAAAGCACTAAAAAGTAAAAAATAACTGATTGGTAGTTTTCATTTACTATACATACCTAATCAAATATTTTCGAAGTCGGTGTGCTTTGCTTTGTATGGGCTGGCACCGATTTCGAAAATATTTGATTAGGTATGTATTTAATAGGTAGGCTTTAATTACTTAGCCAAAGCACACCGACTTCGAAAATATTTGATTAGGTATGTATAGTAAATGAAAACTACCAATCAGTTATTTTTTACTTTTTAGTGCTTTTTTTTGAAGTCGGTTTTTATTTTTTGTTAAAAAGTTTTTATTTTTCCCTTTTTAGTGTAGACAGTAGTAGCAAAGTAAGGATTCTAACGTGTTAGGCTTGTCAAATCAAACAAAATAAGCCCAAACTCAAAGTATCTACTATTAGCCGTTGAAGAGTTCCACCTAACCACCTTCTGGCCTTGCCATCAGATCAGGTCAACAACACTGAACCACTGTACTATCAACGGAAATAGAAATACTTGCAAAGTTTCAAGTCAATATGACAATTAGAAGTAGGTTAAATTCATCATTCGTTGTTTTTCCACCCTTAGGGGTGGTATTTTTTTTTTGAAATTTAAATGGGACCAATCTGGAAGTATACCCTTTCAAACAAAACAAAAATTGTCCAAATCGGTTAATAAATGACGGAGTTCTGAGGTAACAAACATAAAAAAAAAAAAACATACAGTCGAATTGAGAACCTCCTCCTTTTTGAAGTCGGTTGAAAAAGTACAATTGAATGGCAGAATGCATTAATTTTATATAATCTATCTACTACTTAATAAATAAAATAATTTAAGTATCTGTTAACTCATAAATAAAATAATTTAAGTATCTGTTTGTAATGTTACAATAACAGCTTCTTACTAAACGCTCGTACATATGAAAGTATATACAATACTTATAATAATAAAAAAAAAAACTATTTTTAAATTTTTTGTCTGTCTGTCTTGTTCCGGCTAATCTCCGAAACTGCTGGACCGATTTTGATAAGATTTTCACTGGCAGATAGGTAATGTTTTAAGGAGTAACTAAGGCTACTTTTATTTTAGAAAAAGAATTAGGATTTCGCGCTAAAAAATTAAACCCATGAAATTGTGAGCAAAACCCGTGTACCTAGGGACTCACCCAAGCGATGCGAGCATATGTCGTTAGTACTTTAAAAAATGCCAAACATATCACACGTTTTAAAAAAAATATTAAAAACCAAGACTAAATACAGACAGATATTATAAACCAAACCAATTTTATAAAAAACTGTATTAACAAGAATATATATCGATCACTCGGAAGAAAAAAAAACTTATATGTATAACAAAAAAATTAATTAATCACGTACTTATTTCATTGATTGTCAAATATTAAATACAAAAATATACATTATAATCAAAAATAACTGCCTCGGTGGTGTAGTGGCTAGCATGTACGGCTGCACACCCGGAGGTCCTGGGTTCGAGTCCCGGGTCGGGCCAAGTTTAATTATTGAGTCTTCCTGTATAGTAAGTCTCAGTAACAGCCCGGAGTTGGGAAGTTGGCGGTGTTTCACCCCCGTGCCTCGGAGAGCACGTAAAGCCGTCGGTCCTGCGCCTTAACTCTCACTGGTCGTGTCGAGTGGTCGTCCCACCGGAGTATGAGAGTGATAGGAATAGAGAGTGCACTTGTGTCTGCGCGTACACTTGAGCACTATAATATCTCCTGCGCAGTTGGCTAATCTCATTGAGATTGGCCGCCGTGGCCGGAATCGGCTAGGAGAACATCATCATCAATCAAAAATATACTACCAATATAATATCAACATTTATTTTTCAGACAAACCTATTATTTTCAACCACGTCACACAAGAAATGTACTACTCTAAGTACACTACTGAAGAAGTTTACGCTATTATGAATGAAACGTGAGTATAGTTAAATTTTTATCCTCCCAATTTTATGACTTTATTTCTAGCTTCATTTTTTGTATTTATATTATATTGCTTAAGCTTATGTAACTTGTTAAATAAGCTTTCTTGACAAAAAAGCTTTTAAGAGAACTTTAGTTTTTTTTCTTGCAACATTACTTTATTTGCAACAGAGCAGGTAAATATTTACACTTTTAAATATACTTAATTCTTATAAAATCAATAATAAAATAGATTTTAAACCACCTAAATGGAGGAGCAGGAATTAAATCTTGAGTTGAGAACTAACCTGTATTTTATACATTTTCAACGTTTTTTTTGTACTCGTTGCATTGCTTATTCCTTTCTTTTGCTCAAAAAAGCTCAAAGGAAAACGAAAAAGGTTTTAGCAAAAATAATATACTCTTTAGCTTTATAAAAATATGTTTTTTTTTTATTTACAGTAAGACCATATTTTTTTATTTCAGTAAGAACATCACATGCAGTGTCACCGCACATCCTCCACCTACCTTTAAGTGGAACAAACGAGTCAACAACTTTGATGAAGAAATAAACGAAGAGGATATCGTAAGTAGCTTTTATTTTTTATTATAATTTTTTTTTATAATATTGTAGCAGATGCTATTGCCTCATTTTCGTATTCCTACAAACAGGTAATCTAATACGAAATAAGTTTATACTCAGAACGCAAGTATTAGTGTATACTGTCTATTTCTTAACTCAGGGTTGCTACTGGAAAGACTGAAACCGAAATCCTTATGATTTATAACCATATACGCTACTTGCTCTGCTTTACAAAATAAAAAAAAACAAGCCTTTGACCGAATGTAATGTGAGACTCCAGATGATGATCCCAAAAAAAATGTTATTATTAATTATTGTAGAGTTCCACTATCCACTTCCTAGTTCCACCATCTTTGGGATTTGACTTACTTTTAAAGGTTCAATCTACTTAAAGCGTGTTAATTCGACAAAAATACTTTCTTTTCAGTTTGATTATAGCCCTAACCCTTCCAACGGTACCCGCAGCTACTCAGTACTACAACTCAAGTTATACAGCGAAAATGACTTAGGAGAATACAAATGCTCTGTTTCCAATGAAAAGGGTCACGTCTCTATTGTGTTCCATGTCCAATTAGGAAATAAGCCAAATCCACCAGATTCCGTAAGTATGAAGAGTATATGAAATTTTAATTTGATACTATTATTTATTAATAAAACAGCCTAAAAGTTTAGCTAAGAAATAATCATTTGGCTAGAAAAAGTGATGAAATATAAAAAATATATCGTATTAAATTTCATTTTTCATTAAAATATTACAATTCTAATAACTGGTGTTATGTCAATACATTGTGACTCATTTTTGTTTAATATTTTATAGTTACACTTAAAAAAATTTTGCTTTATGTCATTCATTTATATATAGTTATTATCATAATGTAAATTACTAAACCGTATAAAAACATATCACATTCATTAACTAATTCTGCATTAGAAAGAAAAAATAAAGTATTTCGAATCAATGTGAATAATAAAAATAAAAGTTGTACTATCCATACTTAATATTATAAATGTGATATTGTGTTTGTTTGTTTGTCCTTCTTTCACGTCGAAACAGAGTGGATTACTGTGATTTTTTGTGTGGAGGGCTGGAGAGTGACAGGCTACTTTTTACCGATGAATACAAACCAAAAAAATATTTGTGATCAGAATTACTTGAAACTTGGTATTAATGCTCTTCAGTACAAATTATTAAATATATGTTCTAGCAATTTTCGAAATTCATCCTATAAGGGGGTACAATAGAGTATGAAAGTTTGTATGAACACCCCCTTTTTAGAGATATTTTTGTAGTTTTAGCGCGAGTGAAGCCGCGGGTTTTGCTAGTACTATATAAATATCAAAGCGGTAAAACTTACCTAATTGTAAATAATCGTGTATGGTTTCAGGTTACATTTGTGTCAGCGACAGCATCTGAATTAACATTCAACGTCACCTGCTCTACATGTAATTTTGTTGAACAAGAAGAAATGTCTCCAAACCCGGCTAATTTAACTGTTTTAGGTATATAAAGATAATTTTATTTTTATTGTTACTATATTATTTATAATAATTAATAAATCTTATATTCTGCGTTCTACCTTTAGAGGTTAACGTTGAGATAGTCTATAGAATATTTCTATTGCACTAAGTTATATTTATGATTTTTGAATACGTATATCGATTACACAATTGTAAGGCTACAGTACTATTGGCATTTAAGATACGAGTAATTTAATAAAATTGTTAATAACTAAACTGATACGCCCATTATAAAGTCATTTTTAAAGTAATTATTCCAGGCGTAGGCATAGATTAATTTAATTTATATTTTTAGACAACTTTTAAGATGTACTCATAGATATCGCATAGGACAACTTCGCTAACTTTGTTACTTCAACTTGAAAGAAATATTGTAAATTATAATTTTACTTTGAAAAAAAGATAACGAGTTAATATTAGTCCCGCTGAGTTTTTTTCGCCAGTTCTTCTTAGGTCTGAGGCTTCTTCTTTCCGAACTAATAGTGGACTCATGACGTTCAGTAAAAAATTGTAATAATTTAATGCAGAATAAAATATTTTGAATTTGAATTTTTGAATTTGATATATAGCCTTGACTTTAGTAGACTTCAAAAGTCAGCCAAAAGTGGAAAATTTAGAGTTGTGTAAATGGATAATGGTAATATTTATCTGTTTCTAGGATATACTTTCGAGCTTGTTCCAGTCCGTACAGAATACCCTGCAGATTGGAATTCAGCAACAGAGTTTAACGTTGACATTAAATATTCAAATGGTAAATAAACACTACATTATAAATTATACATTCTATAATTTGCTATAATTATAAAGATTAATTATACCTTTTATTATTTATAATAATTAATTATAATTATAATAATTAATTATACCTTTTATTATTTATAATAATTAATTATAATAATAATAATTAATTATACTTTTTATATCTTCATTGCGATTACAACGCGAACTAAGCCGCGGGATAAAACTAGATCATAATAACCTTTTTAACCTCAGGCTGCTGGGCACATGCTTCCTTTTCATTGAGGATTGCGTTGGCGAGCTGAATTGAAATGAATCGCATATGAAAATATCAGAAGAGGAAGACACGAGATTTGAACACGCTTCACTTGGTCTTACGAGCGAGCGTTTTACCACTAGGCTACTACCTACAGCCTTATTCTGTTTTATACTACTGATTTTTATAAATTACAGATACACTTTTCTCGGTGGGCCCACTTGCTAACATGACGGCGTACCACGTCCGCGTAAGCACACGCAACGCTGCAGGAAACTCGGAATGGTTTGAAATCACCGAAACCCCCTCCACAAGTTTTGCTACCACAATGTTACTCTCTTTTACGTTATTCCTTGCCACCGTTCTTCTTAATAGCTGTTATTAAATTTTTGTAATAAGCTCTATTGTACATAATTGTGTTCTTTTAATTTAATTTTATCTTTGTCAAGTTATTTTGATTTTTGAGGCGTGAAATTTATGATTGTCACTATCGAGAAAGTTTTCAAAAATGTTTATTACTATTTAATTTATTTTTAACTAGTGACTTACCGTCGCTTCGCTCGGGTGCGTCCCTAAGATTGAATGGTTTAGGAAGGCATAAAGGACAAAAATACGAACTTTTATTTATATAGATACACAAAAGTATTTAAATAAGTTTTACACTGAGATAATCTAAAATAAAATAGACTCATCAATAATTTTACGCCTCAAAACAATGTATGATTAAGAATTTTAAGTAAAACTTTAATTATTTTTAAGAAATTATTTTTTAGAGTTCAACTGCATTCCGTTACATTCCAAGAGCATAGATAGGAAATGTTTTAATTAAGAAAATATTTGTCTGTTGGTTAAATTTTTATAAATGTTCATCCTTCTGGTGCCTGAACTTTTATATATTGGGCTTTTAATTATTAGTCGTTTGAAATATTGAAAGCTTCAATTTCGCAAGTAGAAATATCCATATGAATATGTTCCACATCCTGTGAAAAAAAACGTCCCCATGTTTGAAAATGCCTATTTATAACGTAATTGCAACAAATGTGTTACACACTCGTATATTAAACAATTTAAATAAAAAAACGTATTTAGTTGTTACAATTATTGCCTTCAGATATTGAATGTTGTTGTTTTTCGGATCTTTTTGCATTTAAAAGTATCTTAGACCGTTAAAATGTATTTAAACGCATTGAATGCAAGAATTAATATATTGCGTCCACATTTCGACTTCCGCTTTTGATATTGGCGTGTGATTGATTGTAAGCTTGTTAATCTTAGTACATACAAGTATTTTAAACTAAAATTAAAAAAAATATATTAGGACAATAAACAAACAACGTGTAATGAAACCACAATGATAAATCTTAAAATTATTTTATTCTTATAAATATGCGGTTAAAAATCAACACACGGTAACTAGAGATTGGTTGGAATTGTCAAGTGGAGTGAAAGTTGAAACATTACTACACTTCCATTTATCCCACTGTATTATTATATTAAAAAAAATATCATGATTTGCATTACTTTTGATATATTTTTCAATTATTATTTGATCCCAGTCACGACAAAACGTTTAAATGACATACGAAATTGTAAAAGTAAACTTTGATATATAGAGCTTTCAAATGAAATTTAAATTAATATATTTGTATGAATTGAGTTTGCGTTAAAATATATAGTTTCAAGTATTATTTCTTAATTTATAATATTTTATGCGTAAACTTGATACGTTTTGGCATAGCCGACTCCAAATGAAGGAAGATGATGTATTAATTTAAATATTACATACATTTATTTATGTTATTAATAAGATACGATAAAATCATTATATAAGAATCAAATTACTGTAGAAAATATCATACCTTAGATTATTGTAAGCTTGATGAGTGTTTGCAATGTAAATATATAATGTTGTTAGTATACGCTTTATTTAAAGTGTGCAGTAAAAGTTGTGTTTTGGATATTTATTGAAAATTGTAACCTTTATATGACTAAAATATTGTCCACTTTATATGACTAAAAGCTCACTTAAAAAACAGCCATATTTGATAATAAGGGCTTTTTCATACATTTTATTAGCCGTCATTAAAAAGTAGTACTCATAAGTACCCTAAACACAATTTTCAATTAATGTCGTTATTATATTATAATATATGTTTTAATATTAGTATTTTATTTCAAATGTTGGGAATTTTAAAACGAAAAATATGACAATACAATTTTGTTCACGATTAATGCCTAAGAATAGCTTCTATCGCTTTCAAAATGATAATATAAATTGACTTTGACTTTTCCTAACATATTTACACGTGTTATATAATTAGTGTACTTAGTGAAAGTGTAACATATTAGGTTCAGTAGAGAAAATATTTTCTATAACATTTCATTTAATTTAATTAGCTAAATCGACCTTATATCATACATTTTACAGTACATATACACGGTATATGTACTGTAAAATATTTAATATTTTCTAACAGACAATGGAAACGGAGAAGTCAAAGCCACGAAAAATCCACTGCATCGTTAAAAAAACACAACTATTAGTTATTACACTTGTCAATTTTATAACTAATCGGTAATAGTTTTTCAATTATAGATATCATGTACAGGAAGACTGAATTTCGTCGATTCTTCTGTTTTTTTCTTATACTAGCCTATCCTTTAATGACTGTAGATTAGTTGTTATACAATATTATTTCTCATTTGAGCTTCAAAAGCGTAGTACGATCGCTCCCCTAGGGACAATCCCTATAGCAATCACAAAGTGAACTTAAGGTTGTTTGTATTTTCTTTTAGCAGTTGTAATTGCCGAAATATTATAAACGTGTATATATCTGTGTCATTTCGCCCGATTATACACAAATTGTTAATTACACTGATTCTGCCTACAATAAAGGTGGTTTATAACTATGTGTTTTATTTTCATCATTTGATTTAAAAAGCATCGTATAAATCACTGATTGGATACTAAAATACTGTAGAGGTTCAGTACTTCTCTATCTCTTAGGTGGCAGTAGTACTACCATGGGCGCCGGGGAGAGGGGTGCACTTGCACCCCCTCTCCCATAGAGGAAAACATATAGAAAAAGTTAAGAAAACAAAATTATATAAGTAAAATCCCTGTTTAAATTTTTAGATATATAAAAAGAAAAGACGATAAATAAGATATGAATAAAAATTATAAATATAATAATTTAAATATTAGTTAGTAGTTTAATGTGACAAGCAGATGCACTCCCGATTGCAAGAGTATGTTAATTATTGTTATTATTGTTTTTTACAATGACGAATTTAACTTGCACTTAGCTATCATAAAAGTTTTATTATAATTTAAATTTAATATAATATTTGTATATATTTTTGCTATTTCTGTTTCTGTAAGATCTAAGAATACTATTTGATATCTTTTTTATTAATATTATTTATTATCATTATTATTCAATGATTTGGTGTGTTATGTATACTAAGTAAATACTAATGCAAGGTAATTAAAATTATTTTCGGTTCTCTTTTTAAACTATATACATTGAATTTTCTGAACAGCCAGTCCGATGCTAGATATATTTAAATTGTTAACTAACTAAAACATTGTGCAGCATAAAATCACCATCATAAATGCAACGTTACTCTAAATGTGTAATACACAAGAAAATAAATCTAGACAATGAATCCCTCCACGACCGTGGACACGCCGGCGTTACAGTTAAGAATAGATTTCTTAGAAATTTAATTAATTTCTTAGAAATTTACCTGAAGGTTTTTAAGATTTCTTTTCAGCTTTATGTAGAAAAATAATTTAAAACTGAAATGAATAAATTATATATGAAATTACTTACTCAATTAAATTTTATCACTAGAGCTAGAAGCAAATAATAAATAAAACGAACACAATTTTGTTAATCAATTTTAATACGCACAATGGTAACACTGCTTTCGTAATACTTTAGATAACTAATTCAAACATTTAATCTAACTACAGTAACTTTAGTTCTAAATTAAACCAGTCGCATTGCGAACATACACCCCACAGCTACAACTAAAATACCACCTGCAAAAAATATTCCGTAAAAAGTGCCATCAGAAATCTGGGCAGCATCATCTGGTTCTTCTTCTCCATCACTGTCACTCTCATCTTCTTCAAGTGTAACAATTTCTTCAGGTTTTGCTATTGTCGAAACAAGAATCGGCTCTGACCATGGAGAGTCACCGGCGGCATTGGTAGCTCTTATACGTATCCAATACTGTGTTTCTTCTTCCAAGTTAGGTAATGTTACGATAAGACCTGAATATTTATAAATATACTTGATAATACTTTCTTAGATTTACGCGAATATTTGACATTTTAAATAAAAATATGTAAATGGATAATTTATAAATTATATTAAACTTACCTACATATAAAAAATATGCTGTACGACTTTAAATATTAGTCAGATACATAACTGATATATGTAAATATTAGACTATCTCTAACTGCTTTACATGCAACGATTTTTCAAACATTTTTTCATCAGATCATGAATCACCAATTGGGACCAAAATTGACAGACATTGGACAATAATAATAAATACATTGAAACAGAGGACTTAATCGTGCATTTAATCAAGAGTTAACATTAACATAAGTTCATTTTAGATTTGCTACAATTATTGAATTATACTTAATACGAAAAAAAAATCAAATTAATAATAACTACCTGGTGTATCGCTTTCTACATCTATACCTTGATCAATTTCTATTTCATTCTCAAATGCTTTTTGCCAGTCAATTTCTCTTGGTATGCCAACTTTTTTCTTCATTAGACTTTTCATTTCCATATATTGTACGAAGATTTCTGTATAAAAATATTTTTTTAGTCGATCAATACTTTCACATATTTTTCTTAAAGGATCAAGTTATACATATTTTTTACTTTGAAAAGACATTACTTATTATGCTAATACTATTAGTGTAACTTTCGACATTTTCTCTCTGGAAATCCATTAACGTGAAAACGACTGAGCCAATGTGAATGACACAGTCAAGTAGTTGTTTTGAACCCATGTCAAGAGTAACTAAGTACTAAGTAATGTTTATTTATCTCAGAGAATCCAGCGATTTTATACATGATTTGTCCCATATACTCATAAAATTTAAATTATAATAAAAAATATAGCGTCAACATTCACTGTAACTTTTATGCTAACTAAATCGAAAGATTTCCTAAAGAAAAGGAGAAAAAATGTTCTAAACAAACTTACTTAAAAGAACTCTATAATTTCGTACTAGGTAATAAATTTAAAGTCATGTAAATTAATATAATTCTTTACTAATATTATATATTTGAAAATGTGTTTGTTAGTTTCTTCTTTTTTCATGTCGAAACAAAGTGACGGATTGGCGTGATTTTTTGTGTGGGGATAGTTGAAGGGCTGGAGAGTGACATAGGCTACTTTTTACCGTGGAAGTTTATCTCATTCCCACAGGAAAACACGATATAATATACCCACAAAATCTCATTGTATCTATATGTATATGTGTAATACATAAATAATATGAAATTGACGTTTTGTCGAACTGGCGGCCACTTCGATCTCAAATATCTGGCTTTGGTTAGGAAGTCGAAATTCAAATTTATTTCAAATTTAGGCTTGTTTTTGTGTTTTGATTTTAATGATTTAATTGTTTTCGCGCCATTTGATTTTTCTTTGACATCTTTCTTTTCACAATGAAGAAAACTTAAAATATCGCGTTATATACGAATACGAGTTCGAAAGATTTATGTATATATGCGTGGGGAAGCTACTGTAAAAGAAAACACGTTACGTTTTTGGTTCCAACTGAAACTGAAAATTTTAAACTCTATAGGTCAAATTTTTCTATAACAAACTGTTAATACTGGGTTTGTTCTATAACAAGCCCCGTGGACAACCAGAGACCCTAGTTGACAACGAAGAATTAAAAATGATAGTGCAAGCATATCCATCGCAAACCACGTCAACGAGTGAGCGGCAAGCTTCGGCATGAGTGATAAAACAATTTTAATTCATTTGAAGCAAATTGAAAAAGTGAAAAAACTCGATAAACGCGTCAAGTGCTGCGTTACATTACTCAACCGTCACAATAACGAGGGGATTTTGAATCGTATCGTTACTTGTGGTGAAACATGGATCGTGTACGATAGCCGGAAACGCTCATCACAATGGTTGAATACATAAGGATCGGCCAAATCCTGCACCAAGCGAAAGTTGACTCAAAAAAAGGTACTGGTAAGTGTCTGATGGACTCAGGACCAGTGCTGGTGTCATCCACTTCAGCTTCCTAAAATCTGCCCAGACTATTACGGCAGATCTGTATTGTCAATAATTGTAAACCATGATGGAAACGATGGACGTTAAACAACCGAGATTGGTCAATTACTCTGCTTCAGGACAACGCTAGACACCTACCACACTCCCCGAACCATGCTCCAAGAGATTACCATTTTTTTCGGGATTTGGACAATTTCTTGCAAGGAAAAAAGTTCAATTCTAGTAGAGGAGCCCAAGAAGGGATTTTCTGTAGTTACTCAAGCGCGGCAGATTAACATAAAAGAGGTTACCTTGCACTCTATTGAGTACTTTCACCACAATATAAGTCTTCTATATAAAGGGGCGCGTCTAGGGAATCCGATTAAAATATTTAAAAATCATCATAGACTTTATAGTCGATTTTTGCCTCTTCGGCTTGTGCAAATCGGCAGATTATTGAATTGGACACTTTTCAGGATGTGACTAGCCTACCACACCTTAATCTGACGGTTTCAAGTATTTCTACCTTATAAAAACATTTTTTAAATATTTTAAACGGCTTCCCTAGACGCGCCCCTTTATATAGAAGACTTATATTATGGTGAAAGTACTCAATAGAGTGCAAGGTAACCTCTTTTATGTTAATCTGCCGCGCTTGAGTAACTACAAAAATCCCCTCTTGGGCTCCCCTACTATTCCGATGAGGCAGTCAAAATCGCTTTCAGAGACTTTATTGATTCTCGCTTCCATATTTTTTTAGCAAACAAATCAATGAACTATCTATAAAACGGCGAAAATTTATAGATAACAATGTACATACTTTGATTGATTCGATATATAATTTCATATATTTTTTTTTCGTTTTGCTTTTTCCATATAGAACGCCAATTTCAGTAGCGAACTTAAGTCGCTGGTTGCCTACATATAATACATATGTATAATGTAGTATATCTACGATATAGTATGTTATGGAATATATCGATACTTAATATTATAAATGTGAAAGTGTGTTTGTTTGTTTGTCCTTATTTCACGCTGAAACGGAATAACGGATTGTCGTAATTTTTCGTGTCGCGATAGTTGGGGCGCTGGAGAGTGATATAGGCTACATTTTACCGCGGGAGATCATCTAATTCCCACAGGAAAACACTTTATAATATAATCCAAAAAAATATTTATGTCCAGAATTACTTGAATATTGGTGTTAATACTCTTCAATGTAATTAAATAAATACGTGTTTCAGAATTTTTCAAAATTCATCTTATATGGGGGTAAAATAGGGGATGAAAGTTTGTATGAAACTACGTTTTTAGAGATTTTTTAAAGTTTTAGCGCGAGCGAAGCCGCAGATTCTGCTAGTATTATATATAAGTTTATTATAGTTCAATGAAATCACAGGTATGACTGTTACTTAATAATTTGTTAATTCAGATTTATCATAATTTAACAGTTAGTACATTCCATTATAGAAAAACAAAGTTACTTACCGTCAACTGTGAAAAATAATTCGTGGTCCCATTTCACACTTAAGTACAAAGAGTCATGTGTAGCATTGTCAACGTTTACCTATAAAATATTCCAATAGCGGTTACATTAATATATTAATATTATTTTTTCCATATACATAATTGATAAAAGCAGAGCGTTATCGTTAGCGTATTGCGTACATATACCTATTAATACATATTTGGATGAAATTTAGTACACAGACAGACTATGACTCGGAGTAATATATATGTATTGTAGCATCATAATTTTCACTATTATTTTCTATTATATTATTGTGAATTATACGGTGGGCCTTATATGGGAAGTGTTGGTAGGTGAATAGTTGTAATTAGTTCTAATCGAAATGACTCGATCCCGACATACGTATGTGACCTTAGTAATAAAATTTGCCAAAAAATGGCGCTGAATGTATGTATGTACGTATCCCGTAAGGGGGGTAAAATAGGGGATGAAAGTTTGTGTGAAACCTACTTTTTTGAGTTTTTTTGTAGTTTTAGCGCAAGCGAAGCCGCGTGTTCTGCTAGTTCTATTATAAATACAACAGGCGTCTATGGACGTACCCGAGCGAAGCGAGGAATAAATAGATATTAAATATACACAATATTGTATAGTAAACCTGATTAGACTTTACCTGGCTTGGTTTTTTTGGTTTTTCTAATTTCACAACTACAAAATATTTATTCACGTTTCCATACTGATTGGAAGCTTGGCATCGGTACCTTTGACCGAACGTCGATGCATTTGCTACCACGTTAATAATTGCACTTTTTCCGTCATTTGTTACATCAACTTTTGCATACTCAGAATCTTCAGAATCATTGACTTCTATAAACCACTTGTAACTTGGTTCTGGATAGCCCTCTGCAGCACAAACTAAGCTGACACTAAAATCATACATTTAATTTTACACTTACCTCTTAACTGATAGAACTTTAATTAAATAGCAATCAAGATAGCAAAGACTAATGACGATATTTTCCAAAATCTAACAGAGTTCGTAAATTAAGAACTTCAATTATAATAATAGTCTTCTACATATAAGTTTTTGATATTTAATACTAAAATCGATCTTGCTTAGACTAGCTAGCTACCTGCGGGGGACAATGCATTGCATAGGTATGCGCAAACACTTGGGTTTTAGACAAGATATCATTCTACTTATAGAAATGTAAAAAGATATATTTTCCTATGGCAATGACATATAATGTATTCAGCCCTATTTAATGTCCCAGTGCTGGGCACGGGCCTCCCTTCAATACGAGGGGGATCAGGCCATAGTCCACCACTCTGGCCAAGTGCGGGTTGGCGGACTTCACATCTCTTTCGAAAACTTGCTAGGTTCTCTCAGACATGCAGGTTTCCTCACGATGTTTTCCTTCACCGTAAGGCAAGCGGTAATCATGTTAGAAATGATTCGCACATGAAAATATCAGAGGTGCGAGACCCGGGATTTGAACCCGCTTCACTCGGTGTCCCAAGCGAGCGTGTTACCACTGGGCTACCACTGCCTTTTTGACATATAATATTATAATTTAATGACAAAGAATAAATTTGTAATTTTAGAATAATTTTTAATTTCCTATTCTACAAAAATTATTGTAGGATGACGTTTTAATAGAATTACCTACTTGCTTGCCAGTTACTAGTAACTAATGTGTAAATAGGTTTAAATTAATTTTTTTATTACATATTACCTTTCATTTTCCATACCCGCTACGTAGCTAATAGAATTTCCATCGGCAAATTTTGGTGCGACTGGAAAACAAGTTTCTATTATAGCTTTGTCATTTTAGATGTAATTCGTTACATTTTCATCTATACATTTACATATAATAAAATTGTAACTAAGTCAAATGTGTACATTAGACATTTTTTGGAAAATCTTATTGAAATAAACATTATTATCGAATATCGATACAGAGGCCGAATCTATAGTTTTTAGAATTTTTTCTGTCTGTCTGTCTGTTACCGCATCACAGAAAAACTACTGGAGGGATTTTGATGAAATTTAGTATGGTAATAAATAGCTGGTTATCCGGGTCAACATATAGGATACTTTTTACCGCGTCAAAATGTCTCATTTCTGAAAAAAAACTGCAATGTAAGAGTATACTAATATGTAGAACCTAAGAATTTGGTTTTTGGTCATCTGAACGTGGGCGGAGCCGCGGGCAATGCTAGTAATGAATATTATCATCACGACATTGTAGCTCACAATTATTATATCTAACCATGTTTATTTAGTGAATTTTCAAAAAGTCTAAATTTTTCTGGTAGTCCAGATTTATACAGCACAATATATGTTTATTAAAAAGTCTCTACTTTTTCTACTATCCGCCACGGCAAAGACGACGGTAATAAAATCGACCCGGTGTTCATAGAAGCGAAAAATCTATAAGTCTGAAAAAAGCTAAAAGTAACACTACTAAGTAGTGTACATATCCTTAAGTATGTATGAATATTTTGTGCATAATATTACATATTATTGGCAAAACCAGTGCGTGGCACTATGCCACGTGATACTATCAAGGTCAATATTAGAATGAAGTCAGGGGTCGCTATATACTTCGCAGGTATGTTGTGTTTTCGTCATTTTACGAACGTCGCCATCTATTTACAAACTCCCGCGTAGTAAAATGCTGAAGACATTAAATTGAAAATGCCTTTAAATATTTTGCCGAAATTTGTAACCGTGATTTAAAAATAAATAAAATGTTATAGACTCAACTATTTTACAACATTATTAGCTGTTAGTACAAAACAGCTCTGTTATATAAAAGACGCGGCGTTACTTTTGCCATTGCAGTGTAGTAATTTCAGGTTTGGAGACTAATTAGACTGGGATTATGTTAGGCGAAAAGCTTATATACTCTCAAAACTTTATTTTACAAACATTTTACCATTTCCCCTGGTTCATTACGCGGGAGCGTTTCAAAACAGACTGCACCGTTTGTAAAAAAACGAATCTTACGATCTATCTGCGACATATAATCAACATATATTGTTTAAACTACTTATGTAACCTTACTTACATTTAACATGTAATGTTATATTAAACGTGGTACTCGCTGTACAGTCATCCAGAAGATTGCTTTCTTGTATCGCATCACAAACGTAATCGCCACTGTCTTCAGATTCTAAGCCCGTGATAGTAAGAAGACTTTCAAATCCTTGACTATTGTATTTCGTCGTCAAGCGATACTTTGAATCTGAATTTTGATCTATAAACATTGATAAAATTTATACGTAACTTAATTACATTGGAATAACGTTAGATTGATTTGTCATTTGTTATTACTTGATGGGTCTCTCTTATAATACTATGAGCTTTTTTCATGATTGTACTATTATAATGCTTTTTGAAAACGGTCAAGAGGACATTGTTATCATTATTATACTTAGTTACCAGTAATAAGTTCGCCGTTCCTGTACCATGAGAGCCTTGGCTCAGGTTCACCTTTTGCTTGGCAAGTCAAAGTTATGGAGCGGCCAAGCTCCACAGTGACTTCGGTAGGTGTGTCCACAAATTCAGATCGCTCTGATAAATAAGGATTACATAAATAAATAAACAATAATACAGGATTTTTTTACAAAAACATGGCTACGGTACTTACTACGGATTGCCTAAATATATTTTGCTTATTGATTTATAGCAGGTCTCTGAAACCCGTTCAATTTTGAAACCGGTTTTAACCAAACCGAAAAGCTTTTTTTCGGTTTAAGGTTTCGGTTACGTTCTTTTACCGGTTAAATTAGGGCGAACGGTTTTTGACGGATTTAGGTTCCATGAACAAAATTAACCAGTCAAAATGAGTTTTGGTGTGTTTACATTTGGCGCGTCTTCGCTAGTGGTTACTGGCTTAGTAGAAGGATGCATGTACGTTTCTTACTTATGAATGAATGAACCACCAGTGACCGAAACCGAAATAAACCTTATCTCGGTATCAAAACCAAAATTCAAACTTTCAAATTCATTCAAATCCTATTTTTATTTCTTAGAACTAATTATATATTATTCAACTTTTCTAAGTAGATACTATATAATTTACATGAATAAAACCGCTGTTAATACAAAAATAATTAAGTGAAAGAATAGGTTCTATATATAGGTTTTTGAAGTATTCATTGTCGGCAATTTGACATTTACATTTATGAAAAGTCGGCATTCCAGTTTGTTAAGAAGCTAGAATACCTTATACATTTTTATTTTTATACGCACCAATCATTTAAATCTGTATTATTAAAATTTTCGCAATCAAGTATAAATTATCTTCAAAGATTGTTAAATTTATAATGTGTAAAATTATAATTTTACACATTATAAATCCTTACATTATAAATAATTATTAAAATGAAGATTTAGTTTGCTACTGCTGGTGTGAAAATTTAATTATGAGATAGATTTTTTGATTATTTTTCTCAAATTATCTCTATATAAAAAGTTGATTCTTTAAAATATACATTATTAGTAAATAATACCTGTAAATATTAATAAAAATATTTAAAAAAAATACCTATAACGCATAGAGATATCTCTTTACTAATGTCCCCTGATCGGCACTCCCACAGTCCTGTGTCACTGACAGCTACATGGTTGAATGTCAAAACTAAAGCTGGAATACGGTTTCGTAGATATGGCATAAAATGCTCCTGTGCAAATACCCTGTTTGTAGAAGCCCGTTGTACGACTTTACCAGAGGGGTCTACCCAGTCCACCTGGTGACAAAAGAATTAGTATGAATAAGGCTAGCCCAGTCCTAAAATCAATAAAATAATTAATTAAATAAAAATTTAGGAGGATTAAAACCTCAACCTCATTTTCTTTTTCAGCTGCGATTTATCTAAGTGCATGTTTATTAAATAAATAAAAATACAACCAATAAAACTCTCAACACATAGCCCAAAGAAAACTCTATTCACTATAGCGCCAAACACACTTCCAGAACACTCCTCTTAACATCTGTAAGAGTATTGGGATCATAGGAGTCGAAATACCGAGTGACATCAGTGTTTAAATGCCATCTGGAGGAAAAGGCCAAATTAGCTTCCAAAAAAATGGGAGCATCGTCTTTTACTCTATAAAGCTAAGGTTCGCCCTCTCATGAAGTACTGTTCTCTTCTCTGGCACGGCACCCCTCAATACCAACTTCTTCCATTTGACTCTATCCAACGCTGGGCAGTTCGTATTGTCGATGATCCTATACTCACAGACGACTTAGAACCTTTAAGCCTTCGGAGAGACGTTGGATCTCTGTGCATCTTCTATCTTCTGTACAATGGAGAGTGTTCTGATTAATTTTTTGATCTGGTGCCACCGTCGCGGTTTTATCATCACATCCACACATTAGATACTTGGCATCCCACAAATGTACGTGCATTTCATTCTGTTTTACCGCGCACGTGAAAAATGTGGAATGATTTTCCTCTTGAGGTTTTCCCTTAGCGCTATAATAAAAGATTCGTATTGAGTTGTGTCTTCGGGTCCGTAAAGTCTCTTCCGTAACCTCCTCTTATGTTGCAAATGTTTTTGAGCGACGATGTCCACTTACTGTCACAAATTTGTAATGCCTGTGACTCGTCTACACAGAGTCAGTAATTCTTTTTATGAAAAATTTATACGCTTTTATATACTATTCTTTATTGCACTTATATGTAAAATACAGAGAGTAACAAACAATAAAATTAGTTAGCAAAGGTGGACTTATCTCTAGAAGAGATCTCTTCCAGTTAACCTAAGTGAGTTAGAGAGATAGTATTAAAATGCAGGCTAAAGTGCAGTAACTCAAATGTAAATACCTTAATAAATATATATTATATATACATATAACAAAACATTATACATATTATATACATAAATATATGTACATACTACTACATACACAAATACATATCTATATAATATAATGCATAATAATAGTAGTTAATATAATTATTATGGAATAACTTGGGTGAGAAAGTGCTGTTTTACAACAGGATCAAAGAAAATGTTTAAAAAGCTTCTATCGCCAAATTCAAAAAACATTATTCTAAAATACATTTAATTACTTTCAACACACTACAACACGTGTTGATATGTTGGTGACCATGACAGCTTAGAAGCTAAAAAAGCTAGGTAAATTGTCTTTTAGGACAAAAATTACGATCATTAATGAATACTAATAATTATAATAATACAAAAATAAATTTACCTTTTGATTTTTGCTGGTAGCTTTACAGGTAACAGTTTTTTTTAAACCGACTTCGAAATATGTTTTATTTGCTCCATAGTCAATATGTTCGACAGATAAGTCCCTTGTTTCTTTGTGTATTACTTTTAAACCGTAAACTAAAAAAAAACAACAACAAGTACTTAATAATAGAATAAACAGTTTGCCATTTCATTATATAGATACAATAACAAAAAGCTACTATTTTTCTTAACATTTCCATTAAATAACCATTACCTGCTCTATAGAACATATAAATAAAAACAATCACATAAAAAATCCACTTCATTTTGTTAAATAACACTATAGTAAAAAAAAACCGAAAAAATTATGACAAAAATGCAGACTTCATGTTAGTTTAAATAGTAGTTCACAAATGAATTTAGTATTATGGATAAGCTACCATAAAACGTTATAATTAATGAGGCCACCAAATTAACGCAAATTATTTTCATTATTGCTAACAATGTCACCGGTACTCAATCAGGAAGTTACACTTAAGCGATGGTAAAATTGAAAAGGTCGCATAGAATGCTGAAGTGCGTAAACAAATTTATTGTATAAAATAATACTTTATACATTTTTTAAGTTGCTAAAATCTAAAAAGTACTTTACTATTATCAGCCTGGAGCAAATTTTTGGTGACAATCCTTCTGGGTCGTGTTTGTTAATATGTTTTAATATTTAAAAAATATACATATATTTCACCTGGATAAAGAATAAGGGGGGTTCCACGGTTCACCACATAGACCAAGATCTTTTAAGTGTGACGGCGTTAAATAACTTCTGAAGGGTGGTACTCCATCCGCCTTCAGAAGTTCGGCCGTAATTCCATCTGCACCCGGTGCCTTTTTGTTCTTGAGCTGTTTGAGAGCTACCCTAATCTCGCTCAGGCGGACATCCGGGATTTCTTCGGTGTAGTGTCGGGTTAGTTTGGCCCTTGGATCGCTATCCGGACTGATAGGTTGTCATGTTTATGTAAATAGCTGTCCATAATATCTCTCACGGGTCGCGGGTTTGCGTCCCGCTGGGGGCATTCATTTGTGTGATGGGCACGAATGTTTGTACTCCAATCATGAATGTTTTTATTTATTTATAATATGAATGTATTTAAAAAGTTATATAATACGAGTTCATACATATTTGGCTCGGTTTGTAGTGACCCTACTTGCTGTGCCACCGGTCGCGGGTTCGAGTTGCGCTGGGAGCATTAATTTGTGTGATGAGCACGAATGTTTGTACTCCAGCCATGGGTGTTTATATTTATAATATGTATGTTTTTAAAGTTATATGTAATTATAGTGTATCAACTATCTGGTATCCATAACACAGGCCTTGTAGCTTACCATGGAACTAGATGATGCTGTGTGTTAATGTCCCAACATATTTATTTATTTTTATTTATTTATTGTGTAGTGATTCGGTGACCGGTGTGTTACCAATTTATTGAAAAAAAACCTATAAATAGTAAGAGAATAAGAGCGACTATTTTTATTATGTCTTAGTATAGTATTACTAGCGACTCACCCTCGCTCCGCTCGGGTTCGTCCCTAGGTATTGTAATGGATATATGTAGTATGTTATCCTTAAGAGATAGGCATATGCCATCGCAGACTTTTTTGTAGACTTTTTGAGGTGTATAATACTGTAGTACATTATTTTATACTTTCTTAGATTTACGCGAATATTTGACATTTTAAATAAAACTATCTTTTCGGATTTTGTCGCGGATTTATTTGCATTTTTGTTTCCCGACGTTTCGAATGCTTTACAGCATCCATGGTCACGGGAGAGACCTCTCTCGTTCAGCCAGTTAGCGCAAAAAAATGTGTTATATACGACATCACATTAGAAACCTCTAAAATTGTTAGTGTTTCTCTAATATATTATGCATGTATTATACATATAAACCCTTCTCTTGAATCACTCTATCTATTAAAAAACCGCATCAAAATCTGTCAGTTTTAAAGATGTAATGATGTTCTCCTAGCCGATTCCGGCCACGGCGGCCAATCTCAATGAGATTAGCCAACTGCGCAGGAGATATTATAGTGCTCAAGTGTACGCGCAGACACAAGTGCACACTCTATTCCTATCACTCTCATACTCCGGTGGGGCGACCACTCGACACGACCGGTGAGAGTTAAGGCGCAGGACCGACGGCTTTACGTGCTCTCCGAGGCACGGGGATGAAACACCGCCAACTTCCCAACTCCGGGCTGTTACTGAGACTTACTATACAGGAAGACTCAATAACTAAACTTGGCCCGACCCGGGACTCGAACCCAGGACCTCCGGGTGTGCAACCGTACATGCTAGCCACTACACCACCGAGGCAGTTAAAGATGTAAGCATACATAGGGACAGACAGACAGCGGGAAGCGACTTTGTTTTATACGAGTACTATGTAATGAAATCATTTGTGGTATTAATAAATTTCGCATTTCACAAGATGTTCAAATCGTACTTTGTTAGATATTTTGTTTTCAATGAAGTCTTCGTTGAAGGCTGTTGATAATAGTTATAATAAGTGTTATTATACAGTAAATTCGTATTGTAATTATTATTTGTCGCCATCATTATACAAAGTAATAAAACATCACCATCTTTTAGGGACCTACATAAATTATACCTAGGTGAAAATAAAATAATTAACTTTTTTTCTATAATATTTATACATATATAATTTTTGTACATATTATAATATTTATATATTCTATTCGCTAAATAATAAAACGTTTTACCTATTTATTATGAATTGAATTGAATTTCCTGTAATTAAAAAATTAAAAAAAATGGAATCGGTGTTCCCACGTCTCCACACAAAAGATTTTTTTGGCATTAAAAGCATTTATTAATTTGTGAATACATTTAAAAACACAGTATTTAAGTTTCGTCTTCACAATATGCCGCATTCATCTACTGGTTAGCATGTCTGACTGCAGATATATATATAAATTATAGGATTTTTTCTCTAGTTTAATATATTACATTAGCGGCTCACCCTCGCTTCGCTCGGGTTCGCCTGTAGAAAAACACTAATAGAGACCTATTAGTTCCCACGGGAACCGTTCATTTTTCCCGGATGAAAAGTAACCTGTTGTTTGACCGGTAATATAAGGTATCAGAATGTTAAATTTTAGTAAATTAGGTGCATAAGTTGTATAAGTTATTATAGTTTTTTCACTATCCCACGGGAACTATTTAATTTTCCGGGATAAAAAGTATCTAAGATGTTGCCCGGGGATATAAGGTACCACCATGCAAAATTTCATTTAAATCGGCCGAATAGATTCGGAGATTAGCCCGTACAAACAGACAAACAGACAGAGAAACAAAAAAATTTGAAAAAAATCTGGATTTGTTCTATTTGTCTTCTAACATCCCCCTGACTCAGTTTTTAGCATTTTTTTTGCTATGCACAGACATTCGACCTCTACTGTTTTATTATAGTATAGATTACTATTATTATTTGAATTTTTAAAATGAGGAGAAAAGGAGATAGTGTGGGAGGAGGAAAATAAAAATTCGGAAAGAGCACGTCAAAATCTATTAAATTACTAAAACTCCTAGAAAACTTTCCACGCAACCTATTTTTTGAACACCAAATGATTGTACTATAAGGAGGGATATTTATTAAGTATGTGTCTACCAAACAACACGTGTTGGTAACAAAAGTATCTATAATTTTTTAAAACTAAAAAAGTCACTTGTTTTTATTCTATATATTCTTTCTTTATCTTTAGTTTTTATTGTGAGAAAAGAAAGTCAGTGATGGGACAACTTCATATCTCGAAGAGCTCATAAAGCTGTCTGCCTTCCACTGTCTGCTTGTCGACTATCGATTAAAATAAAAAAAAAGGAGAACATACCTATTTTGTGTACACATTTGTGCATTTTATAGCATCTCCCGCATATAATAATAGAAGAGATTGACTGCTGATCGAATTTTGGTATGATATGCTTTTGTTGCTCAAGATAAAACGCAAAATTATTGTACCGCTTATTCTTACAAAAGGCGAAAAGACATAGACATATAATTGTTTTCTTCGAATTGAAAAAAGTACACGGACACATAAAATCTAACAATCCCATTTTATAATGCTCTATTGACCGATTTTGGCCATGGCAGCCAATCTCACTGAGACTAGCCATCTGGCGCAGATATTATAATGCACATACATACCTATTATATACACGCAGACACAAGTGCACTCTCTATTCCAATTACTCTCAATGTCCAATGGGACGATACTTCGACACAATCAGTGAGAGTTAAGGCGCAGGACCGACGGAATTTACGTGCTTTCCGAGGCATAGGGGTGAAACACCGCCAACTTCCCAACTTCAAGCTGTTAATTTCTGACCGCTGAGAATTTCTTGACAGATACACTCAAAAATTGAACATGGTCCGAGCCGGGACTCGAACCCAGAACCTCCGGATCTGCGGCTATACATGCTTGCCATTAGAATACGAGGCAGTTCAATTTTATATGTACGTAGGTATATAACAGTTTATGAAGCATATAACAATAAACTGTTATGATATTTTTTAAGTTTCAATGGTCATGATCAAAGATAAGCAATAACCTTGCTCCATGACTGATAAAAGGACTTTATTCATCAGTTTCCTATATTTAATATCTTAAACAAAATGTTCCGCTATCAATAGCACTTCCTCTGATTTGTAACCCTTATCTAATATATTTAAACGAGCAATTCTTGTATATATATATATATACACATACAAGCATATAAATACCCATGACTGCAGTACAAACGTCCGTGCTCATCACACAAATGAATGCCCCGAACGGGACTCGAACCCGCGACCGCTGGCACAGCAAGTAAGATCACTATAAACTGAACCAAAGGTGTCGTCAATTCGATATTGTTTATTCCATCGTACCATCTCTTAACATATATTCATTTAAGTTTGTCTAGTCTATTCCGGCAAACTTTTATAGTGGATGGAAAAGTTATAAAATGTACATGATTAGGATGATTACAATTTCGCACATTATAATGAAAGTAAGTATCTAAAACGCGATGATATGAGGTTCAAAAGTTTAATTTATAACATATATTGTTAGATGAAGATACAAAGTAATATCTATACATATAATAAAATTGTAGAGGTGAAATGCCTGTACATAGAAAAAAAAGCTAAAGACTGGGTCAGGGGGATGTAAGAAGAGAAGTAGAACAAGTCCAGTTCTTTTTTCATTTTTTTTTGTTTCTCTGTCTGTTTAT